GGTGTGGAGTTAATAAAAGTATTAGTCAGAGGGCAGAAGAGGGGTTGTTGAGGTGGTTTGGTCATTTAGAGAGAATGGATCAAAGTAGAACAACATGGAAAGCATATAAATCTATAGGGGAAGGAAGGCGGGGTAGGGGTCGTCCTCGAAAGGGTTGGAGAGAGGGGGTAAAGGAGGTTTTGTGGGCAAGGAGCTTGGACTTCCAGCAAGCGTGCGTGAGTGTGTTAGATAGGAGTGAATGGAGACGAATGGTACTTGGGACCTGACGATCTGTTGGAGTGTGAGCAGGATAATATTTAGTGAAGGGATTCAGGGAAACGGGTTATTTTCATATAGTCGGACTTGAGTCCTGGAAATGGGAAGTACAATGCCTGCACTTTAAAGGAGGGGTTTGGGATATTGGCAGTTTGGAGGGATATGTTGTGTATCTTTATATGTGTATGCTTCTAAACTGTTGTATTCTGAGCACCTCTGCAAAAACAGTGATAATGTGCGAGTGTGGTGAAAGTGTTGAATGATGATGAAAGTATTTTCTTTTTGGGGATTTTCTTTCTTTTTTGGGTCACCCTGCCTCGGTGGGAGACGGCCGACCTGTTGAAAAAAAAAAAAAAAAAAAAAAAGAACCTGGAAATGAAGCACAAAGTACGGGAAATGTTTGATTTTTGCCGATGTTCAAAAGTAAACAAATGATGTCATTGTCGAATAAATGTCCAAATAGCCATTCTAATATGCAGTCATGAATGGGTTGATGTAATTTTTACAATTATTACAGTATTGCAGTAGTCTGCATAACAGTAAATCTTCTATTTTTTCTTTGAATAAAATTTCAAAATAAGAAGCAAGAGTAATATCAGAGGGGCCTGGAGACATGACTGATGAACAAAGAAAATGTTATTTTAGAGCCAGGAATGTCTGCATTGTTCATTCTGGTCCTTATTTTGAAATTGTCATAATTTTTAATTTTCGTGAAATTGGCCAAATTGCAAATTTCTGACCATGTTATTGGGTAGTTGAAATCGGTAAATGGGCAGTTTCTTGTACTCAAGCGATGGAAAAAATGAAGTTCTGAAGAAATAGCTATGAGTTTGGTTGACTGGAATAATGGTATTAGCCGAAAATAGGGCTCAAAGTGGGCGAAATCGCCGATTTGTAAATATTGCCGAGGTTGCTAACTTCGTGAGAGCATAATTCCGTCAGTTTTCCATCAAATTTCTTTTTTTTTGGTGTCTTTACAATCGGGAAAAGATTCTCTATCATTTCATAAGAAAAAATTATTTTTTTTTTTAAATTTTGCGACACCAGGAGACACCTCAGGATTGGGGGTTGCGACAGTCAAAGGGTTAAAACTATTCCAACCCTTACCAACCCCCCCCCCACTACTCATACTTGCACTCAACCATTTTTCTGCCAGTAGTTGCTTATATCTCACCCTAACTTCCTCCTCCCTAAGTTTATACACTTTCACCTCTCTTACTTGTTTCCATTTTCCTTATGTCCCATCTACCTCTTACTCTAACTGTAGCTACAACTAGATAATGAGCCAATATGTGAAGTATAAAGAAAGCCACTAGCATGCCTAGGCATTTTGGGCAGACTAATTCTTATTCTTACTAACTATATTGACACAGGTTATGGAGTGGTACAGCTACTGTATCATGCTGAAATAAAATATTATTATTATTATTATTTTTATTATTAGATTGATGTGTTAGCATCATGCAGTTGCTGCAGATTCGTCTGCTGCTCATTTATGTTGTGAATTTCATGTTCCACCACATCCCAGAGGTGCTCTAATGGATTCAGAACTTATGTCAGTGGAGGTCATTAGAGTATACTGCACTCACTGTCATGTCCATGGAGTCAGCTTGAGATGATGGTGTGCTTTGTGACATGGCATGTTATCCTGCTGGGAGTAGCTGTTAGAAGATGGGTAGACTGTGACCTCAAAGGGATACACATGTTTAACAACAATACTCAGGTAGGCTGTAGCCTACCTGAGTATTGTTGCTGTAGCCTACCTGAGTAAGCTTAGGTGGGCTCATTTGGTATTATAGGGCCTAATGTGTAACAGGAAAACTGTGAAGGCTTACTCAGCCCTGTAACAACTTCAGACAGTATTACCAAGGCTGGCTCCTCCTCAGGAAAATTAGTGAATAGAAAAAGAAATAATAACAGACAACCATAAACACTTTATTATATAGAAAATAGAAAATATAAAACACTTAAATATGAAATATTAATCCTACATTAAAGAAAATGAAAAATGAAAAATATAAATGATAACTGAATTCAAAGCTAATATATATAGGGGTGTCTGGTGTTGGTGACACTGTGTTGTTGAAATCGTAGCCGTTGCTGATGATGGTGGGGGGGGGTCGCAGGTGTTGGTTACGACCCACTGGCTAGTTCTTCACAGTAGATAGGGCCTTGAGTATTATATCCCGATGACAGGAAAGCAGGTTCTTTACCACTGCAATGATGAGGGGTTACGTCCTGCAATTTCATACAGGTGCACAGGTAATTAAATCCAAAATGGGACGTCTCCAGGACGTTAGTCCGTCTCCATTAGTTCTTCTCGTTGATTGACAGGTGACCCTCACTGTCATCCAAGCTGAAAAGATAGGTTACCCACTGCTTAAAAATCACTCTCCATGGCAAGCACAATACCTAAAAGATGTGGTGATTATTACAACAGTCAACCTAGAGCAAGACTGAAAGGACTAAGTTTATTATTGGTCAAAAGTGAAGCTTTCAACCAATAAATCCACTAGAATACAAGGCAGGCATGTACTTACAGTAGTGTTGGGAGCTGTGAGTCGAGTGATTTACTGTTTGACCAGAGCCCCACACGTCACCTTTCGGGGGGGGGGGGGGGAAGAAGGAGGGGAAGGGATAGTGGGAGCTAGACTGACCCTATGTTAAGAAGCAGCCGGCCGTCAAACTATCACTTTAGGGGTGGGGGAAAAAAGGCGGGAACAGCGGGAGCTAGACTTACCCTACCTTAACAAGTAGCCGGCAATGAAACTATTGTTACTATATACTCCCTCGCTACTCCTATCTATTGAACTTTTCCCTCACAAAAACATTCCCCACAAATTACTCCGCCACCACCACCACTACCAGCCTGAACCGTTGACACAAGGCAGGATAGATCCATGTTCTTTACACTAAATTCTGATGACCAAGTGACATATTTCCTATCTTCAGTTGTCTAGTTTTGGTGAGCCTGTGCCCACTATAGCTCAGTTTCCTTTTCTTAGATGACAAGAATGGATGCCGGTGTGGTCTCTTGCTGCTGTAGCCCATCCATTTCAAGACTCAGAGATGCTGTTCTGCATACCACTGTTGTAACATGTGGTTATTTGACTTACTGTCTCCTTCCTGTCAGATTAAATAAGTGTGGCCATTCTCTTCTGACCTTATTTATTAACAAGGTGTTTTTGCCCTCATAAATGCTTCTTTCCTGATGTTTTATGTTTTTCTCTGTAAACTCTAGAAACTGTTGTGATTGAAAATCCCAGATTAGCAGTATCTGAGACACTTAATCCACCCTGTCTGACACCAACAGTACTTCCACAGTCACTTTGATCACATTTTTTCCCCATTCTGATGTTTGGCCTGAACAACAGCTGAATCTCATGATCATGTCTGCATGTTTTAAGGCCTTGAGGTACTGCCACGTGATTGGCTGGTATTTAAATAAACAAGCAGGTATACAGGTGTACCTAATAAAGTGGCCACTGAGTTTATATTAAATCACTCGACAGGTGGTGCAACATCCTCACAATGAAAAGCAGGGGTGCCACAAGTATGCTAAGAGACAGCACAATAAGTGTCAGGGGCCCAAGATTGTTCAACTGCCTCCCAGCATACATAAAGGGGATTACCAATAGCTGTTTTTAAGAAAGCTTTGGACAGGCACCTTAAGTCAGTATCTGATCAGCTGGTTCGTACATTGGTTTACATGTGGCCAACAGTAACAGCCTGGTTGATCAGCTCCTGATCCACCATGAGACCTGGTCACAGACTGGGATGTGGGGGCATTGACTCCTGAAGCCTTCTCCAGGTATCAGAGGCAATACACTCAGAAAACAACATAACAGGGGTACAGACACATATGCTCAGGACTCCTGACCAACAAAATGTGATCAGTTTTGAGGGTGCCTCACCAAATTCAGCTTCAGTAACAAAAACAAACAGTGGGATCAAGTCAGCCATGTCCTAAATTAAACAGGCTGGAAAGATATCCTAAACAACACGGATCCAAACCTTTGCCTAGAAAGAATTAACTCCTTGGCACTTGAGGTATGCTCAAGGCACATTTCTTTAAGAAAAAGAAAGAGAAAATATAAACTAGAAAGAGATATACCTATAGAACTGAATGTAAGGAATCACAGAATTGCTAAGACGGCCCAATATATTTGGAATACAAAAGGCAGCACTGGTCAGAGAAATAGCAAATATCAAACTTAAGCTTGAAGAATCTTATAAGATACAAGAATCTCAGGAAGAACTTAAAGCCATAAATGAAATCGAAAGAAACCCAAAATACTTATTTTCTTATGCTAAATCTAAGGTGAGAACAGCATCCAGTACAGTGGAACCTCGGGTGCCACAAGTACACTTGAGAGACAGCACATTAAGTGTCAAAGTCCCAAGACTGTTCAACTGCCACTCAGCATACATAAGGGTGATTACTAGTAGACCCCTGTCTGTCTTCAAGAAGGCACTGAACAGGTACCTAAAGTCAATACATGATTAGCCAGGCTGTGGTTCGAATGTCGGTTTGAGTGCGTCCAGCAGCAACAGTCTGGTTGATCAGGCCCTAATTCACCATGAGGCCTGGTCACAAACTGGGCCATAGGGGCGTTGACCCCTGAAACCCTCTCCAGGTGTGGTGTTAAATCATTCTGATAGGACAGACTCACCTTGAAACATTGACTTTCATACTTTGTTTCACCTATTTTATGTTTTAAATATAAATTCCTTTATTTTTACAGGGTTAGCAAATCAAACAGAGAGTGACGGTAACATCAAGTCAGATGTTACAGCTATTCAACCACCTGAACCACCTCAAAGATTACCTCACATTCCCTCAGAGTTACCTGAATCACAAGAGTCACATAAAAAGGAAAAAGAGAAAGAGAAGCAAGTATCTTATTTTGTCATTTTTTAATTTAGTAGTTTTATATTCATACTTTATTGTATATTTGATTATAATATCTTGATATCAGTTTGCATTACTTACATTAGTGTTCCTACACACAATGCACAAATAATCCGCACATAGAAGAGAGGAGCTTACAACGACGTGTCGGTCTGACTTGGACCATTTACAAAGTCACACCAATGAAAAGGAGAGCAGGAAGGGTATATATAGACAGGTGGTGGTAGTAGTAGTAGTGGAGAAGGTAGTAAGAAGGAGGAGGAGCCAGTCAAATACTGAGAAAGAGGAGCACTGTTAGGGAGCTAGGTGCCCACAGAGGGTAAGAGCAAGAACACCAAGGGAGGAAAAATAAATAAATAAATAATGAAGGAACAAATACACAAGGCAGAAGAAAGACAACCCAAAGGAGAAAAGTGAAAGAGGAAAGGGGAAGAGGGAGAAGAAGAAAAAAAGGAGGAATCAGGTTAGGTCATGGGTGTGACCTGAAAATCGTGTTCTGATACCTTAGTAAGGAATCGTTCAAGACACTGTACACTGTGTATGTCAGGCCCATACTGGAGTATGCAGCACCAGTTTGGAACCCACACCTGGTCAAGCATGTCAAGAAATTAGAGAAAGTACGAAGGTTTGCAACAAGGCTAGTTCCGGAGCTCGGGAGTGTCCTACTAAGAAATGTTGAGGGACATCGACCTGACGACACCGGAGGACAGGAGGGTTGGGGAGACATGATAAAAACATACAAAATACTGCATGGAATAGATAAGGTGGACAGAGGCAGGATGTTCCAGAGAGGGGACACAGAAGCAAAGGGTCACAATTGGAAGCTGAAGACTCGGACAAGTCACAGGGATGTTAGGAAATATTTCTTCAGTCATAGAGTCGTCAGGAAGTGGAATAGTCTAGCAAGTGAGGTAGTGGAGGCAGGAACCATACATAGCTTTAAGATGAGGTATGATAAAGCTCATGGAGCAGGGAGAGAGAAGACCTAGTAGCAGTCAGTGAAGAGGCAGGGCCAGGAGCTATGACTCAACCCTGCAACCACAAATAGGTAAGTACGTACACACACACACACACACACACACACACACACACACACACACACACACACACATACACAGTTTCATTTAGACTCCATGACAAGGCCTCAATGAGTTATTTCACAGCAGAGCTAGAGATGGTTGACTGGCCTACAGAATTCTTCAAGGCCAGTTGTATTGACAATTGGACAGACATATTTCTGAGTAAATTACTTAGACTGTACAACAAATATTGTCCTATAAAAATGAAACAGATCATGAATAAATGGCTCATTTGCCCATGGCTAACTAGCAGCATACTGAAACCTGTTCATAAGAAACACCAATATGGAAAGCAATATAGACTGGGCTTAATACACAAAGATATTCTAAAACACTATTCATCAGTTCTCCAAACTAATAAAAAAAAGCCAAACAATTGTACTACTCCAGCAGATTCACTGGAACAAGAGGAGATACAGTGGACCCTCGCCTAACGAACGCATCGCATAACGTTAAATTCGCCTAACGATACACTTCAACGCTAACTTTTGCCTCGACTAATGCTAAAAAACTCGTCTAACGATATTCGTTCTCGGGTACCAATTAATATCGTTAGGTGAGGGTCCACTGTATAAAAAAGACATGGAAAACACTCTCAGATTCTGGGAACCCACAAACTGAAAAAAACTAAGGATATTATCTGAACTAAACTGAACGAAACACCACTGCATCCAATTGATACAGTTAGCAAGATAAATGACTTCTTCTGAACCATAGGATCTAATCTCGCCAGGAAAATTCCAGGTACCAATGCCCATGCAAGTGATTACTGTACTTAGATGGGAATTTCCCAAACTCCTTCTATCTTGCACCTACTGAGCCCACTGAAGTCACCACAATTATTAAGTCGCTTAAAAATAATTCAGGGAATATGTCTCATGTCCCACCATTACAGTGGACCCCCGCATACCGTTGGCATCACATAACGTTAAATCCGCATAGCGATACATTTTATCACTAAAATTTTGCCTCGCATAGCGCTAAAAAACTCGCTCAACACTATTCGTCCGAGACGCGTCTGTGTGAGGCCTGAGCCAGCCTCACATGTTCCACCGGTGGCATTGTTTACAAGCCAGCCTCCATGGTAACATCCAAGCATACAGTCGGAACATTTCGTATTATTACAGCGTTTTTGGTGATTTTTATCTGCAAAATAAGTGACCATGGGCCCCAAGAAAGCTTCTAGTGCCAACCCTGTGGTAAAAAGGGCGAGAAATATTATCGAAATACTGTGGTACCATGGTCAACTGCTGATGCTGCTGCTGCTGCTGTAGCACTGTCAGCTGCTGCTGCTGCTGTACCACCGTCAGCTGCTGCTGCTGCTGTAGTACCGTCTGCTGCTGCTGTAGCACTGTCTGCTGCTGCTGTAGCACTGTCAGCTGCTGCTGTAGCACTGTCAGCTGCTGCTGCTGCTGCTGCTGCTGTAGCACTGTTGTTGGTGTGGCTTATTGAGAATACCAAGAAACAATTAACCCCAGAGGGTTAGCCACCCAGGATAACCCAAAAAAGTCAGTGTCATCAGAGACTGTCTAACTTATTTCCATTGGGGTCCTTAATCTTGTCTCCCAGGATGCAACCCACACCAGTCGACTAACACCCAGGTGAACAGGGAAAAATGCCTGGAACTAGTGCTCATATTGGTGAATTTAAAGCCAGCAAAGGTTGGTTTGAGAGATTTAAGAATCGTAGTGGCATACACAGTGTGATAAGGCCTGTTCTGGAAGAAAATGCCAAACAGGACCTACAGTACTCAGGAGGAAAAGGCACTCCCAGGACACAGTGTCTCATCAGTCATTGCTGCATCTTCAATAAAGGTGTCATTTATTCTTCATTTAGTAGAGTAGTACATGCACCATATATATTGTGCATGTATTACTCTACTATTGTGCATGTATCCTTCTCTTTGTGTGTAGGAAAATGTATATTTTATGTGGTAAAAAAAATTTTTTCATACTTTTGGGTGTCTTGCACGGATTAATTTGATTTCCATTATTTCTTATGGGGAAAATTCATTCGCATAACGATAATTTCGCATAACAATGAGCTCTCAGGAACGGATTAACATCGTTATGCGGGGGTCCACTGTATTGTACAAGCGAGCAGCCCATGTCCTTTCACATGCTATTCTATTACTTTTTAACAAATTACTGGAAACTAGCACTTTCCTGACACTGCTCAAGACAGCAAGGGTTACACCAATACACAAAGGTGGTGACCCCACAGATGTAAACAACTACAGGCCAATATCAAACTTACCATTGCTATCCAGAATCTTCAAGAAACTCATACACAAGAGATTATATTTGTTTATAACAGCACAAAGCATACTCAACCCCTGCCAATTTGGCTTCAGAAAAAATAAAAGCACAAACGATGCAATTGTAAAAATGCTAGATCTGCTTTACACAGAACTGGAAAATAAGGAATATCCATTGGGACTTTTTATTGACCTAAGAAAAACTTTTGACACAGTAGACCATGGCATCCTACTCCACAAACTTGAGCATTATGGTATAAGAGCCCATTCACTTACATATTTCAAATCCTATCTTACTAATAGGTATCAGTATGTCACCATTAAAGACACAACCTCATCAACACAGCCACTTGATACTGGAGTACCACAGGGAAGTGTCCTTGGTCCCCTGCTCTTTCTCTTATACATCAATGATCTTCCCAATGTATCACAACACCATTGTTAATGAGGAGCTACTCAAAATATCTACTTGGATGACAGCCAATAAACTTACTAATTAACACTCACAAAACCTTTTATATTATGTTTGGTAATAGAGCAGGTGTTGCACAACTTAACATTAAGATCGACAACACTCATATTGCCAGGTATAACGAGGGCAAATTCCTAGGCCTGCACCTCGACAGCAACCTGAATTTCAGCACCCATATCCAACACATTACCAAAAAAGTATCCAAGATGGTTGGGATCCTCTCCAAGACACATTACTACGTGCCACAATCAGCCCTTCTCACACTATACTATTCACTCGCCTATCTCTACCTCACCTATGCTATTTGTGCTTGGGAATCAACTGCAGCAACACACCTGAAGCCAATAATAACCCAACAAAAAGCCGCAGTAAGAATAATCACACAATCCAATCCCAGGCAACACCCCCCCTACCCCCTTCATAGATCTAAACTTACTCACTGTACAGAACATCCACACTTACTACTGTGCAACCTACATTTACAGAACCTTAAATTCCAATATTAACCCTGATCTAAAACACTTTCTTGATAGTTGTGACAGGAACCCACAGGCATAACACCAGACACAAACATCTCTATGACATTCCCTGTGTCCGGCTAAACCTATACAAAAATTCAGTGTACATAAAAGGACCTAAAATCTGGAACACCCTACCTGAAAACTCTAGAACTGCAGACACATTCATCACTTAAAGAACTACCTTTCGAAAACATCTTATCTCCCTGACACACCCCACCATCAGCTAACTACATGAAAACCACCTATTCTCTTGTATCATACACACACAAAAAACAACCTAGACTTCCCCTCGATATCTGTGATTCCCCACAATTCACACTTACATTCACCCAATTGACAATATACGTAGATATATGTAATAAAACTAATACACCTACCATCCGACTTACGACCTGCTCAACATACGACCATTCGACTTATGACCATGTTTTCTATGCCAAATTTCTGGGAAATAAACAGGTGTTTGTGTTGTACACAGTGTTTATCCTAAACCTTACAGTATAAAATACAGCACTAACAGCATAAAAAGTAAAGTAAAAAATGAAATACCAAAATAAAACAATAAAATAAAGTCATTACAAAAATGTGATGTTGATATTCAGTAGTAAGGTTCAACTTACGTCCATTTCGACTAACGACGAGTTGGTCGGAA